TTACCAAAGTATTAAAAATTCACAATATAGTAATATAAATGCCTCTGTAAAAAATGCATCAAATAACATGAACTAGCAGCTGGTCTTACAAACGCTGTTGTTCTGAAGCAATGGTGAGAATTAATGATATTTCAACAATTGTAATCTGATACAAAAATAGTGACTTCCACTGCAGAGAAATGCTGTGGGACTGTGATTTACTGCCTGTGCTATGGAGGGTGGCGGATAGGATATGTTTCAGTTAAAGGTAGAGAAACCATGATGGAGTCACTTTCCCATTGAAGACCCCCAAACTCCAGGCTAAGAACTCCTGCCAGCTCCTCTGGGTCTGTCTTCAGGAGCAAAGCCCTGGCTTCTGCTGATGGCATCAAAGAGTTTTGGCCCACCATCCAGACCTCAAAGTCACTTTGAGCAGCTCAGTCCCCTTGTTGGGCTTTCCCCCTCCCCATTCCCCTTCTGGAAGCTGCAATTGCTCAACATAAACTTCCCTTTGTCATTTGTCTTCCCTGATAGGACAGCTCAATTACATCATCTTTCTGTTGTCTAGTTTCTCTGTTCTAGTAAACATAGATGAAACCAAAATTCACATGGAAAGGAAATACACATATCAGCAAAGTCAGGTTAAGTTCACTCAACTTGTCATTAAGACCAAACATCTACAGCTGGACTTGGTGGCATACACCCGTGATCTCAGCCACTCAGGATGCTGAGGCAGGAGGATCACAGATTGGAGGCCAGCCTAATCATCTTAGGGAGACCCTGTCTCAAAATAAAAAGAGTTGTGGATGGAGCTCACTGACAGAGTGTCCCTGGGTTCAGTCCCCAGTACAAAAAAAAAAAAAAAGACAAAACATCTGCCCACATCTGGGTTTCTTTTGGTTGTTCTAAGGGGAAGAATGGGGATAAGATATTCTCCTTTATTTATACCAGTTAGGAGGTGTATATAATATATACATATAATATATATAATTTTGATACATGGTCTCACTGTGTTGCCCAGAATGGCCTCAAATTTGCAATACCCCTGCCTCGACCTCCCAAATACCTGGGCTTCAGGTATGCACCACTATGCCTCACTTTGTCTGTATTTATTTTCTTTTTAATTATAGTTCTTTGATGAACCACAAGCTAAGATGCCATTGCTTTTGTCCCCTGGGACACAGGTCCCTCCAGCCAGTCACTTCCCCGAGGGACATGCAGGTCTCTGACATTATGTTCCGTCCCTTTCGGTGGCCACTGACCTCCTGCTCTGTCCTCCCGGGACCCCTGCATCCAAACCACTCCTGTCTCCCCAGCAAAATAATTTCTCGCAGGTGTCTCTGATAACCAAGACCCATGTTTAAAATTTATGAAACACAAAACAGAAAAAAATTTAGCTCATGAGATGAAAGTGACTTCAGAGGGAAAAATGTCTTATAGAGTAAGTAGCCCATGTTCAGTGGGCGTGGAGGGCAGCTCACTTGGAGGACTGAGAGTCCCCTCCGCAGCCCTTGGGGCAGGCTGGTGTTCCCAAAATGCTCATCGTCACTGCCCCTTGCTCTCCTGTCATCACTATGTCCCCTTTCCTTGGGAACTTCCTGTCTGTTCTCTATTGCATCCCATCCTGGTTTCCATCTCCCCCAGCAGCCCCGCGGTACTTACCTGAGACCACACCAGAAGAGACTGGGTGTCCTGCCGAGCCTGGCCATCCCCTTTTAAACCTTCCCAAAAGATCTGAGCCAGCAAAACCTTGAGAAAGAAAAGAACCCCTCAGGGCCCCAGTGACCCGGCTGGCCTCCTCTTCCAGGGCCTGACGGATGCTCCTGGGTCCCTGTGGGGGGATCGGTGAATGTCCTGAATCCAGGACATTTACTTTCCTCCCATTGCCCTTGTGGGGAAACTGATGACCTCAGCCAGGGGTGCAGGCTGAGGGCAGAAATAGAACAGCTGGGTAATGAGTTTTCCTCTCAAAGATAAAGTTATAACTGCACCAAAGAAGCGGCCGACTCTCAAGGGGCAAAACCTGGGTTGACTTAGCTGCAGCCTTTGGCATGGCTGAGCCCAGGGAACCAACCGGCTGATGACTTGGTCCCTTCCACATGCTCGGGGCCGAAGGCCCATGTCAGCTTGGACTTCACTTCTCCAATAATGCCATGGACCTCCTTCAGCCCTAGTGGCCAACAGAGGCCATGTGGCATCATGGCTCAATGCCAGCCCCGAACCCCAAAGCCCCACCTCTAAGTCCTCTATGGATTTCTCTGTGGCAAGTCCCTGCTCCCTCCCAGCTTGCCTTTCCCATCTGTAAAATGGGTGGCTGGACCTACAGACTCTAGGCATCCTCTGTGCTCTCTCAAGTTCAAAGATGGCTTTTGGGACTGGAGGGAGGAACTGCCTGGGGGTTATTCCTCCTGACATCCACTATTAGCCATATCTATCCCTCAAAACTCCCTCATTCATTTTTTTTTAAAAAAAAATTAAGGTGAAATTTACGTAATATAAAATTCACTACTTTAAGCAAACAATTCAGTGGCATTTAGTACATCCACGCTGTTGTGAAACTGCCACCTTGAATTTCACAACATTTTCATGAGCCCAAAAGGAAACCTAGTACCCTGGCCATCCCCAATCTGCTTTCTATCTCTGGATTTGCCTGTTCTGGCCATTTGATACTTGGGATCTACACTATGTGGCCTTTTGCCCCTGGCTTCTTTGACTTAGCATGTTTTCCAAGTTCATCCACGTTGAAGCACAACTCGAGACCTCTTCCCTTTGTATGGCTGAGTAATAATCCACTTACGGCCAAGTGCAGTGGTGCACTCCTGTAATCCCAGCGGCTCAGGAGGCGGAAGCAGGAGGATCCCAAGTTCAAGGCGAGGTTAGGCAATTTAGGGAGATCCTAAGCAACTTAGTGAGACCCCATCTCAAAATAAAAAGCAAAAAGGACTAGGGATGTAGCTCAGTGGTAAAGCACCCCTAGGTTCAATTTCAAGTACCAAAATAATAATAATAAAAGTAAATAACAATCCGCTGGTGGATATTCTGCCGTTTCAGTTGATGGATGTTTGGGTTGTTTCCACCTTTGGGCTTCTGTGAATAGTGCTGCCATGAGCACACATGAACCTGTATTATTGAAGCACTCATTTTCCATTCTTTTGGATATTTATCTGGAATGGGATCGGTGGATCGTATGGTAATTCTCTCCAGCTTTTTGAGGAAGAGCCAAGTTGTTTTCCTCGGCAGTTGAATCATTTTACACTCCCGCCAGCAATTCACAAGGGTTTCAATTTCTCCACATCCTCACCAACACATCTATTTTTCTTTCTTTCTTTCTTTTTACTCTGCCATTCTAG